GGGGCGTGGGAGGTCCCGCCCTCCCCCACGCCCTGTTCTCATTGGCTCGTCCATTTCCCGCCACCAGCAAGGCCCCCGCGCAGTCGGTCGTGAATGTGTCTAGCCTCGACGCCTGAGCCGGGAGGGAACCCAGGAGTCCGGGGACCTGCCCCCGGCCCCACGCCCGTCCCGGAGCTGCCGAGAACCCGGGCATCTAGGCTGCTCTGGCTCTCAATAAAGCCATTCCTGACCCTGCTGCTGTCTCGTGGCTCTTTGCTCCGCGCCCGGCGCTGTACCTGGCCCTCCAGAGGTAGCCGCATTTCCACCCTCCACCCCGTCCTTCCCGTCCCCTCCCCTCTCCTTGCCTCCTGCTGGTGTTGAGCATCTGCCCCCCCTCACACCCAGAGAACCCAGGCGTCCACAGCTGGGTTGGGGCCCCCTCCCGCAGCTGCCCCGGATCATCCAGGATTGTCACGGTACCCAGTGACCCACAAGATGTGACCAAGGACCCTCCGCATTCGTCTGTGGTTTTATTTGGTTTGATAACAGCCCCCTATGCTGCATTACACTCAGCCAGTCCCTGGCTCCACGCCAGAGCTGGCTACATCCCCTGGCTGGTTTGCTTCCATCCATGAGCTGTTACACTTGGCCAGTACCCAGTGGATGCCCCCCAGAGCTGGCTGCATCTTGGCACTGGGTAAGTCCCCCCCCAGTTGCAGAGCAGTGTTATGCTCAGCACTTTCTAAGCTGCTTCCCACCCCAGAGCTGGCTGCAACTCCCAGAGCTAGCTTGATCCCCTGCCTGAGTTGCATTACACTTGGACGGTATCCAGCGGATCCCAGAACTGCCTGCAACCCCCAGAGTTGGCTTGATCCCCTCCCTCAGCTGTGTGATACTTGGCTGGTCCCCAATGGATCCACCCCAGAACTAGCTGCATCTCCACCCCAGATATGCTCGTGTCCCCCCTACCCCCAGTGCAGTGTTACACTTAGCCCTTTCTAAGATGCTCCCCATCAGAGCTGGCTGCATCTTGGCACCAAGCGACCCCCACCTCAAAAATGACCCCCTTCCCCCATTATGGATATGGGGTAACTCCAACGCCTCCATCTGAGGCAGCCCCTGTCCCTGACCCCCACGTTCCAGATAAGGAGGCTGCAGTTGCCCTTGAGGTCACTGAGGAAGGAGACCCCGGAGGCCAAGACCGGCTGCGCAGCGGCCCCAACCTGGGCCAGCTCCATGCCGTTGTAGCCGCGGATCTGGGGGTCCCAGCGGGGGTCCCAGTACAAGACACGGGTCTGCACGAGCCCTGGGCTGGCACCGGTGAAGGGGGCGAAGCAGGCCTGGTAGTGGCACGGGATCTGCAGGTAGGTGCCCAGCCAGGCCAGCAGCGTCATGGGCATCTCCATGGCGTGCTGGCATCTGCCCAGGGTGCCTGGGGGCACGAGGGGGTGGGTACAGCACCTGGCACAGCCCCAATCCTGACCCACGGGTAACGTACAGCGCCCGGCGTGGGGGGCAGAGGCTTCTGGGAGGAGCAGGGCACAGAGGAGATGCTACATGGTCCCCCAGTGCCATTCACAGCCACTCACCAGTAGGACTCGGTGGGGGGGGGCCAGGCTGGCAGACAAGATGCAGACAAGCTGAGGCTGAGGGGGATCACGCCACACAACCAGGTGGAATGGAGCCCTCGAGACTCCAGGCTGTGCAGCAGTAGGTGCCCGATGCCCAGGCTGTGAAGGCCAGCTTGGGGCCCTGCTCTCCTAGTACTTCCCAGTCCCGGGTCCAGCGGTATTGGAAGATGCGGGGGTTGGTGCCCTTGGGGATGTTGCAGCGCAGCCGCATGGGCCACCCCTCAGGCACCACTGACCTCAGTGTTGCCGTCAGCATAACGTCCCTTGGTGGGTCTGCAGCGGGGCGTACTATACCCAGCAGAGCCACCCCAGAGCTGGGTGCCTCATCAGGCCAAAGCAAGCCAGGGAGCCCCAGCTGGGGCAGGGACGGGGTGGGCAGGGCTTCTGGTGGTCACGCCTCTAGCCCCCACTTGGGGTGCTGGGCAGGGCCAAGGTTGGGTAAAAGCCTGAGCCTGGTATTGGGGCCTGAAGGTGAAGGACAAGCTGAGCTGGGCAGGGTTTGGGGTGATGGTCAAGTAGGTGGATGCCTGGGTTGGCTGAGTGCCTGAGCCTGGAGCTGGAAGGGGCGGGGCTTGAGGTGTTGGGCAGGGCCTGGGTGCAGTGAGAGCCTGAGCCTGGTACTGAAAGGGGCAGGGCCTGAGGATGATGGGCAGGCTGGAGTGGGAGGGGCTTAGGGTGATGGACAGGACCTGGGTTGGGTGAGAGCCTGAGCCTGGGCCTGGAAGGGGAACCGAAGGATGACTGACAGGTAAAGTGGGCAGGGCCAGGGAGGTGGATGCCTGGCTTAGGTCAGAGTCTGAACCCATGGGGTACAAAGTGGGCGGGGCTTAGGCTGATAAACGGACCTGGCTCCAGTGAGAGCCCAGTGCTGGAAGGGGGTGGGGCTTGAGCTCACAAGGGGTGTGGCCTAGTGGCTACTTGAGCCTGAGAGCCTGAGCCCTGCCCCAGAAAGGGGGTGGAGCCTGTGTTGAAAGGGGGCGGGGCCTGGCCCATTATTGACAGATGGGGAGCTGCCAGAATTGGCTGCCTGCCTCCTCCTGGTGCTGCCCAGGGCCGGAGCCAGAGGTTGACTGACAAGCTGGCAGCAGTACTCACAGCACAGCAAGGTTGAGGGGTGCGGAGCAGGTGGCGCCAAGGCTATTGTGGGCCTGGCACACCTCGGGCGGGCTGGACATAGCTCCAGCTGGGCCCGATCCTGCCCTGGCAGCTCCTGCCCATCCTGGAACCAGTGGAAATCGGCAGCTGGCGGCTTGGCCTGGCAGGAGCAGAGCAGAGCAGCGCTGTGGGTGCCCTTGCACCCGCAGGCAGCGCCAACACCAGTGCCACAGCCCAGGGGATGTCTGCAATGGGGCGTGGGGGATACACAGCAGTGAGGGACAGGGCCCAGCCGTCCAGGCTTCCCCTACCACCCCCCGCCTGTAATCCAGGTCCCACCCCCAGGGTCTTGCCCTGCCCCCTCACCACCTAGTTCCACCCCAGAGCTGGGCGCATCAGCGCAGCAGAAACCCAGGGAAGTCTCAAACTGGCGCACCCAGGTGGGCTGGGGGTTTCCCTGGCCAATCCCCACTAATTCAGGCCCTGCCCTCACCCACAGAGCACATGCAGCTGCAGGCACGCAGCGGGGGTGCTGGGGGCATCCAGGATGCAGGTGCGGGTGCGGGTGTGGTTCCCGCGCTGGAGGGTGACGTGCAGCTGGGCTGCGGTCTCAGCATTACACGTGTCCAGCCGGGCCCAGGATCGGGGCCAGGCCCAGGGGCCATGGAGGGCAGTTGTGGGGCAGGGAGCATCACAGCTGGGTTGGGGCCCCCTCCCGCAGCTGCCCCAGATCATCCAGGCATGGCATGGGGGAACCCACTGTGGGGGGCAGCACCAGTCAGGGCGACCGGATGCCTGGGTTTGCACCCCAGGGCCCAGATTCTTTGTCCCGGAGTGGGAGGGGGCCCAGACACCTGGGTTTGCACCCTAGGGTGGGAGGGGGAACAGACACCTGGGTTTGCTGCCCTGGAGGGGGGGGGTCACCTAGGTTCTCTCCCTTGGGTGGGAGGGGGACCAGACACCTGGGTTCTTTGCCCCCAGGTGGGAGGGGGCTCAGTGCCCTCACTTGGGTTCTCTCCCCATCAGGGAATAGGATCCTGGTGGGGTTGCGGACCTGGACTCCTGCCTGGGGCAGGAGAGGGTTGGGTGGGCCTTGACACCTGGGTTCTCCCTGGGATGGAAGGGGGTTGGGGGGGCCCAGACACCTGGGGTCGTTCCCCAGGGCAGGAGGGGGCCTGGACACCTGGGTTCCCTCCCACTCTGGGATGGATATGGGGGCTGCAGTGAGGGGGAGAGAGCCGGGGTTCCCGGACACCTGGGTTCCCTCACCTGCCACCTCCACCTCGATCGCTATCCACCACCGGTGCCGCTCCTCGTTTGGCCGCACCTTTCTCCCTGGGGGTGGCGGGGGGGTGGCGCTGACCCAGACCCCATAGGTGCCACTGTCCCTGACCCCCACGTTCCAGATGAAGAGGCTGCAGTTGCCCTTGAGGTCACTGAGGAAGGAGACCCCGGAGGCCAAGACCGGCTGTGCAGCGGCCCTGACCTGGGCCAGCTCCATGCCGTTGTAGCCGCGGATCTGGGGGTCCCAGCGGGGGTCCCAGTACAAGACAAGGGTCTGCACGAGCCCTGGGCTGGCACCGGTGAAGGGGGTGAAGCAGGCCTGGTAGTGGCACGGGATCTGCAGGTAGGTGCCCAGTCAGGCCAGCATCGTCACGGGCATCTCCATGGCGTGCTGGCATCCGCCCAGGGTGCCTGGGGGCATGAGGGGGTGGGTACAGCACCTGGCACAGCCCCAATCCTGACCCATGGGAAACGTACAGCGCCTGGCATGGGGGGCAAAGGCACCTGGGAGGAGCAGGGCACAGAGGAGAGGCCACATGGTGCTGCCAGGCCTGGGAAGGGGAGAAAAAATGTTTAATGGCTGGGGGGGACCCAGGTGTCAGGGGGGGGCCTTTAGCCTCCCCTCCCTGCTGTGACCCCCCAAACTGGACTCCCATCCCAGAGAACCCAGGTGTCCAGGCTCCCAGTTCCCTTGCTCTCTCACCCCCGCCCCCACACCCCAGAGAGCCCAGGCGTCCAGGCTCCCAGAACTGTCCCAGAGCTGCAGGGAACCCAGGCGTCCAGGCTCCTAACTCCCCTGGACCCCACTCCTCTCCCCAAGAACCCAGGCATCTGGGGTCCTAACTCCCCTCGACCCTGTTCCCCCCCGCCAGAGAGCCCAGGTGACCGGGCTCCCAGACCTCTCCCGGAGCTGGGGGGAACCCAGGCGTCCAGGAAAGGGGAACCAGGAAATTGAGGAACTGGGGGTGGGAGGCAGAGTCCAAGGAGGGGCTGGGTGATCTGTGCCCCCTTCCTCCCCACCCTTGGTTGCCATGACACCAGCACCTTTGACACCCCCCCTGCTTCCTAGAGGATGGATCCCACTGCTTCCACCAATCACTGGGGTGGGAGAAAGTGTCTTTATCTGGGCAAGAAGGGGGCCTCCCCTTTGGGGGTGTGGCCCAGAGGGGACCTCCCCCTGCTTGGTGGGGTGGAGCCAGATCTTCTCCTCGGGAGGGGGTGGGGATCTAGGACATCTGGGTTCTTCCCCAGCTGGGCAGGGCTTTGGGGTGAGAGCTGGGAGCCCGGGCACCTGGGTTCTGCTCTGGGTGGGGGGCAGTGGGGGCGGGGACCCCCCGCCTCCAGAGCCACCGGTGTCCCATTCAGGCACCAACCAAGCCCCCACCTGCTTAGATACACCATGCCTGCCCCCCTCCACTTCCTGCCCTGGGGGCGGGATGGTGGGATCCCCCAGCAAGCCCCTCCCCCAGCGAGGGGCAGGGCCTGAGTTCCCCCCCAGCAACTCCCCACATCCACCACAGGCATCACTGCAGGTACTCCACGCCTGGGTCTCTCTAGCCATTGCGGGGGGAGCCCTGGGGACCCGGGCACTTGGGTTCTCGGGGGGGGGGGTCAAGGGGGGGCTGGGGTCATGGGCCCAGACCCCTGGGTTCTTGGGGGGGGGCAAGGGGGTGCCCAACCCCTGGGTTCTCTGGGAGTGGAGTGAGGCCTGAGCAGGCAGGGACCAGGGCAGGGTGCAGGGGGCTGAGAGGGGGGGGCGCCTGGGTTTTCTGGGAGGGGATGGGGTCCAGGAGGTTAGAGCAGGGGAGGTGGGTGCCCGGACACCTGGGTTCTTTACGTGGGGGCTGGGGGCTGAGAGGAGGGGGCAACGGGTCCCCGGACACCTGCGTTCCCAGGGGGGTGAGAGCAGTGGGGCAGGAGCCCAGATGCCCGGGCTCTCTGGCAGGGCAGCAGGGGCTGGGCTGCTCCCCAGGACGTGGGTTGCTTTTTTTTTTTTGTTCCACAGGAACCAAAGGGACCCATTTTGAGCTTGTTTACCCCCAAAAGGAGAAGTGAGAGCTGGGGGGTGGGCAGTGGGGGCTGGGGATCGGGGCCGCATCAGGTGAGGCATGTCCTCCCCACAAAGCCAGAGCTCCAGCTACACTAAGCAGGGCTGGGACTGGTCAGTGCTCGATGGGAGACCCCCAGAGCCAGGGGTTTGGGGGGGTTATAGGGGTTATAGGGGCACCCGCCCCATCTCCCCCCCCCCTTTGGGCCCAGTTCCACCCCAGAGGAAGCCACAGTGAGGCATGGGAAGCACTGGACCCTGAAGGCGTTGTGGGGGGAAGAACCCAGGCATCCGGGGTCGCAGCCCCCGCACCCCCCCAGGCCCTGTCAGAACCAAACTGGTGCCAGAGCTAAGTTTAGCTGTGTTCTTCCGCCGCAACAGTGCTGCCGCCTGGGCCCTGCAGCTCTGGGAGGGCAGTGGGGTCAGAGACCGGGAGCCCAGACACCTGGGTTCCCCTTTGTGGTGGCCTCGCCTGGGCCTGTGCGGGGGGAACCAGGGGTCAGAGTGAAGGGTAGGAGCCAGACGCCTGGTTTCCCGCTCTCAGGTTCTCACCCTTTGCCGCGCGGCCAGCACCATGTGGCGTCTGGCCTGGGCCCTGTTCCTCCCAGGTGAGTGGCGGGCGGGCTGGGGGCTCGGACGCCTGGGTTCCCTGGGTGGGGAGTGGGGCGGGGGGATGAGCCCCGGGGGGCTGGCAGCCCGGATGCATGGGATCTCTGGGAGGAGGAGAGTGGGATCTCTGGAGCGAGTGCGGGGGGATGCCTGGGTTCTCTCCAGCTCCAGGAGGCTGGTGGGGTCTGGGGGGTGAGAGCAGGGGATTCTGGGAGCCTGGGTTCCTGCTAGCTCACAGAGACCAGGAGAGTCTGCAGGGAAGGGGCTTGGCATCCAGGATGCCTGGGTTCCCTGAGGGGAGCGGACCCAGGGGCTCTGGGGACACCTGGGCCGGGAGTGGGGGTGCCAGGAGCCCGGACACCTGGCTTCTCTGGGAAGCTGTGATCTGCCAGGTGCTCCCCTGTGCCCCCGGGCGTCCTGGCACTGTACATCCCCCTGGACTGGGATCAGGGCTGCCCCAAGCGCTGTACATGCCCCCTTCCTGCCCCCAGGTGCCCTGGGCAGCTGCCAGCGCCCCGTGGAGATGCCTGCAACGCTGCTGGCCTGGCCAGGCTCCTGCCTGCAGATCCCATGCCGCTACCAGGCCTGCTTCACCCCCTTCAGCAATAGCAACCCAGGGCTTGTGCAGACCCTCGTCTGGTACCACAACCCCCGCTGGGACCCCCAGACCCGCGGCTACAACGGCATGGAGCTGGCCCGGATCAAGGCTGCTGCGCAGCCGGTCTTAGCCTCCAACGTCTCCTTCCTGGGCGACCTCAAGGGTAACTGCAGCCTCCTCATCTGGGATGTGGGGGTTGGAGACAATGGCACCTATGGGGTCTGGGTCAATGCCTCCCACCCCCAAATGAAGACAGTGAAGCCAAAAGAGGAGCGGCACCAGCGGTGGATGGAGAAGATTGAGGTGGAGGTGGCAGGTGAGGGAACCCAGGTGTCCGGGAGCCCCGGTTCTCACCCTTTCCCCAAGCCCCCGTGTGCATCCCAGAGTGGGAGGGACCCAGGTGTCTGGGCCCCAGCTCCCACTGCCCCAGCCCACCTGCCCCCATGGCAAGGGGAGAACCTGACCCCTGACCCACAATTCACCACAAAGGGGAATCACAGAGCAGGGTGTCCGGCCCCACCAACCCCTCCCGCCCTGTGGCACAAACCCAGGCGCTGGGTCCTGTCCCACCCCAGGGAGTGAACCCAGGCATCCAGGCCCCCACATGCCCTGGGGCACAAACCCAGGCATCTAGGCCCTCTCACCCCCTCCCGCCCTGGGGCATGAACCCAGGCACCCAGGTGCCCTGACCCATGCCCCTGTCCCCACAGCGGGCCGCCCCACGCTCCGCCTTGAGGGTTCGGGGCAGCTGCGGGAGGGGGCTCTGGCCCAGCTGCACTGCTCCCTGCCCCACCACTGCCCCCCGCGGCCCCTGAGCCTGGCCTGGGGGGGCCTGGAGGGCCTGCGGGGGACACGGTCCCAATCCTGGGCCCAGCTGGACATAGGCGGCGCTGAGACTGTGGCCCGGCTGGACCTCACCCCCCAGCGTGGGGACCACGGCCATGTCCTCACCTGCGCCCTGGATGCCCCCGGTGCCCCCGTTGCAAGCCTGAAGCTGCACGTGCTCTGTGAGTGGTGGTGGGGCTAGGACCTTGGGGCAGGGCTGGAAACAGGGGTGGGGCCAAGGGAGTGGGGTGGCAGAGGGCTGTGCCCATTTCTGGAGTGGACCTGAGTGCAGAGGGTGTGGGGCCTGGCTTGGGAGGAATGGCCAGTGGAAGCGCCGCCTCCCAGCCCACCCTGGGACGCCAGCTTGGGGCTGCCCTGGGCTGCTGGGACCCTGATGTGCCCAGCTCTGGGATGGAGGTGGGTGGTAAGGGTGCAGGGCAGGGCCCTGGGGGTGGGGCCTGCACTAGGGGTGTGTAGCCAGTGGAAGCCCTGCCCCCAACCCGCCCTGGGATGCCAGCTGGGGACTGCCCTGTGCTGCTCATGCCCTGATTCGCCCAGCTGTGGTGTGTAATGGCCCCTGCCCCCTGCAGACCCGCCAAGCAACGTGACGCTGACGGCGATGCCAGGGCCAGTGGTGACCGAAGGGCAGTCTGTGCGGCTGCGCTGCGACGTGCTCGGGGGCGCCAACCCCGCCATCTCCCAGTACCGCTGGACCCGGAACTGGGAAGTCCTGGAAGAGAAGAGCCCTCAGCTGGAATTCACAGCCCAGGTGCCTGGTTCCACTGGCACCTACTGCTGCACAGCCCAGAACGATGAAGGCAGGGACTCGTCCCCCGGCCTCAACCTCCGAGTACAGTGTGAGTGGGGGGGGTTGGGAGGGGCAGGGTTTGGGGTCAGGGGAAGAAGGAGGCTAGGACCATGGCATCTGACACACATACACACACACACGTCACTACTAGGATTAGTTTTGCCAGAGCCCTGCAAGGATTTACACTCGGGTCTCTCCTTATGCAAGGGTTGCATTTCAAAAAAACCTTGCATAAAGTGAATTCACATAAAGCGAATCCATTATTACATGTAATTAATAGAGATACGCACCATCCTCACTCTACTGCCCCCCCAAACCATGACAAATTCAAACAGTAATTGCACAATGCAATAACTGCTGCGCGGGGAGGCTGTGAGCTCCACGCTGCAAGCAGCGGCATGCACAGCAGGCACTTTGACAAGGCAGCATGGGGTGAGCACCTTCTCTGCATAGCCCTGCTGTTCCCTGCCCCCCAGCCTCTACAGCCCGGCGGGCATCAAGCTGGGGCATAGGTGAGGACGTGGCCATGGTCCCTGTGCTGGCGAGGTGAGGTCCAGCCGGGCCGTGGTCTCAGCACCGCCCGTGTTCAGCCTGACCCAGGATCGGGCTGTGTCCCCCGCAGGCCCTCCAGCCCCCACCCCCAGGCCAGGCTGTTCATCCTGCGCTGCCCTGGGGATGCGCCTCCTGTGCCTGCTGCTCTTTGAGGGGTGCTACCCCGTGCCACAGGAGGTGTGTGGCCAGCTCAGCGGGGTGCAGCGTGTTGGGACCAGGCAGGGAGAGGAGCTGTCAGGCTCAGGATCAGGGCCAGGGCCTGCTGTGCCCATGCATCTGCCCCTTCCCCTTGGAAGTGTGCACGGCAGCAGGGAGCTGGCCCTCCTGACGAGCCACTGGAGACTCTGTCCTGCTCCCTGCTGGGGCCCTGCAGCTGCACACTGCAGACCCGGGCCCCAAGCACCCCCCGGCTGGACAGCAGCCCCAGCCTTGCCCAGCTCCCTCCCTACAGCGTCCTCAATCCACCTCTTCCCCCCACTTACCTGCCAGAGCTGCCCTCGAGGCTACTTGGGGCCACGTGCATGTACTGTACGTGCACATGGTGCCCCCGTCTCACCGCCTTCCTTCTGCTTCCTGCCAGCTCCCTGTGGGCTGGAACGCTGCCAGCCTGCAGGGAGCTCATTGCCGGCCGACTTCACATAACACTGGATTTCTCACACAAAGCAAATTTCTGGTATAAATAAGGTCGTTGCATATAAGTGAATTCGCACAAAACGAATTCGCATAGAGAGAGACTCGAATGTACTTAAATAGTAACCCCTAATCACTATTACAGGTGTTCTCTCCAGAATATGACCTGACAAGTGGCTCCTTAGACATTACAGCAGCGACTGTTGGGGGCACTGGCCTCGGGTCTTCCACTGGGTGAATGGGGTCTTAGTTTCTGGCTCCCCCCCCGTTCCAGCAGGGACTCGGCAGTTGTGTGTTATCCTAGGATCACAGCAGACCCCATGCACACGCACACACGCGCGCACACAGCCCAGGTGTTCGGGACACCCCCCACCTGGGGCCCCAGTACCTGGAGGGTGGGAGCAGGCACAGCTGGGGCCCTGTAGCAGGTTAGGGAGAGAGCCTGGGCGCCTGGGTCCCATCCCTCACCCCGTGTCTCTCCCCCATGCAGATGCCCCGCGGGCCGTGGTGGTGATGCTGGAGACGGTGTTGCCTGCGCACGCGGGGGCGCCCGCAGCGCTGCTCTGCTCCTGCCAGGCTGAGCCACCGGCCGCCAATTTCCACTGGTTCCGGGAAGGGCAGGAGCTGCCGGGGCAGGATCAGGCCCAGCTGCAGCTGAGCCCGGCCCAGCCCAAGGATGCCGGCGCCTATGTGTGCCAGGCCCATAACAGCCTTGGCACCGCCCGTTCTGCACCCTTTGACCTCGTTGTGCTGTGTGAGTACCGCTGCTGGCACTGGCGAGGAGGGGCAGGGCTTCCAGGCTGTCCATCAGCCCCTGGCCCCAGGTGCAGGCAAGCAGCCTGAGCTGCCAGCTCCCTGTCTGTCAATCACGGGTGAGGCCTTGTCCCTTCCCAGCCCCAGGCCCTGTCCGCTTTCCACGATCGGGCTCTGGGCAGACTCAAGCAGCTTCTAGGCCCCACCCCTTGTGACCTCGAGCCCCGCACCCTTTCGGCACTGGGCTCTCACTGGAGCCAGACCTGTTTATCAGTCTGAGACCCAACCCCTTTGTAGCCCTGGGTTCAGGCTCTTGCTCAAGCCTGACATCCCCCTCCCTGGTCCCTCCCACTCTTCCTGTCCATCATCCTCAAGCCCCACCCCTTCCAATTCAAGGCTCAGGCTTTCACCAAACCCAGGCCCTGCCCACTACCCCAAGCCCTGCCCATCTCAGCCCGTCATCCTCAAGCCCTTCCCCCTTCCAGCTCCAGGCTCAGGCTCTCAGCCAACCCAGGCATCCACATGCCTGCCCATCACCATCAGGACCTGCCCCCTGGCACTACCAGGCTCAGGCTCTCACCCTCCCCAGGCTCTGCCCACCCCTGTGAGACCCTCCTTTCGCCCGCAGACCCTCCGGAGGCCGTGTGGCTGGCGCTGGAGCCCGAGGGGCAGGTGCTGGAGGGCACGGGTGTGCGGCTGAGCTGTGCCGGGGGGGATGCCCGCCCTGCACCCACCTGGGCCTGGTACCGCGACGGGCGCCCCCTGCCACTCCACCTGCCTGGGCCCATGCTGGAGCTGAGTGTTGGCCCCCAGCACCGTGGTGCCTACTTCTGTGAGGCCCAAAACAAGCTGGGCACCACCCGATCCCTCCCTGCCATCCTCGATGTGCTCTGTGAGTGGGGGCACTGGGGTGGGAGGGATTGTGATGGGGGGACTGGGGGCACTGAGATGGGGGACTGGGGACATTGGGGTGAGGGGCATTGAGGGGACTGGGGGCACTGGGGATGACTGGGGGCATGGGAATGGCAGAGGGAGGAGCATGGGGGGTGTCCCAGACACCTGGGTTCTGTGCGCACGTGTGCGTCTGCATCTGCGTGTGTGCGCATGCACAACCCCGACCCCAGAGTTCCCTGCACATCTGGGTATCCTGGGGCTGGGAGGGGGGGCAGAGGGGGTGCACAGGGGGTACAGGAGCTGGGAGAGGGGGGCTGGTCCCGGGCAGGGGTGTGGCCAGCCAGGGAGGTAGGCAGAGCAGGGGCCTGGCAGGGGGCATGGCCAGCTGGGCAGTGGGCAGAGCCTGGCTCTGACAGACTGCTCCCCTGTCTGTCCCGTTCCCGCCCCCCAGTCCGGCCAAGGGAGGTGCAGGTGGAGCTGCAGGCAGGGAGGAGGGTGCTGGCCGGGACCCCTGTGGAGATGCGCTGTGCCGTGGGCAGTGCCCAGCCCCCACCCACCACCTTCACCTGGTTCCTTGACAATGCCACACTGGGCCCCCCTGGCCCCGATTCGGCTCTGCACCTGCCCCATGCCCACCCCCACCATGCTGGGCACTATCACTGTCGTGCCGAGAACATCGCTGGCGCCACCAACAGCTCCCCCTGCTTCCTCAGCGTCTGGTGTGAGTAGCATCCCACCCTCCGCCCCAACTGGGAGGGACCCAGGAGTCCGGGAGGGATCTTACCCCAGAGGGACCCAGAAGACCGGGAGGGTCCTGAGGCCCCAACCCCCTGCCCCTGACCTCCAGTGGGACCCAGGTGTCTTGGCCCTCACCCCAGGCTTAGAATCAAGGTGCGCTGACCTCTGACCCCAGGCATCTGACCCTAGAGCTTCGACCCCAGGCATCCAGGCGCTGACCCCAGGACTTGGACCCCAGCACCTGGGCCCCTGCCATAGGGCGTGGAACCCAGGCGTCCGGGTCCTGACCCCTGACCCCAGGGCTTAGGATCCAGGTGCCTTGACCCCTGACCCCAGGCATCCGGGTCCTGACCCCTGGGTGTGGAACCCAGGCGTCCAGGCCATGATCCTTGACCCTGTGCCCCCGCAGACCCTCCACAAGCAGTGCGGTTGTTGGCGGAGCCGGGCGGGCGCCTGGTGGAGGGGGGCGCTGCGATGCTGCACTGCGAGGCCAAGGCGTGGCCCCACCCCCACCGCTACGACTGGTACCGCGATGGGGTGTGGCTGGGCTGGGGGGCCGACCCAGCCTGGCCTTTGCCCCGCCTCCAGCTTCAAGCCACTGGGACCTACCACTGCCGGGCCACCAACCAGGTGGGGGCCACCGACGGTCCCCACCTTGTCCTCACCGTGCACTGTA